CCCTCTGTCGTCGCTGCTGTTCGTGCTGACCCTGGAACCACTGAACCAACTACTCCACGACCACGAGGAGTACGGGATAGAGCTTACCCACGAGCACACCGCCACTACTCTGCTGTTTGCAGACGACACGACCTTGCTGGCTGGCCGCATTGCTCATCTCCAAGAGCAACTAGAACTGGTCAACCAGTATTGCGCAGTGTCAGGCGCCAAACTCAACATCGACAAAACGGAAATCCTGGTTCTAAACTCAAACCAGCCGATACCGTTCGTACCAGGTCTGTCCTTTGCGGCGTCGGGGCGTCCGATTCGATACCTTGGCATCTTGTTGGGACATCGACTGCCTCCAGAGTACCAGGTCAATCGATTGACCGACAGGCTCTATGAGACCTTTCGTACCTGGTGTTGCCGAGCACGCACGATCCAAGGGCGACGTCTGTTAGCCCAGACTGTCATCTTGCCAACCCTGTGGCATTTCACGGCGGTTGTCGTCGTGTCTCCTAAGCAAGCAGCGTCCTGGCAATCTCTGGTGAACAAGTTCATCCAGAACCGGACGGCAGACCCTACCAAAAAGACGGTCTCTCTGATGCAAGCGGCACATCAGTACGATCGTTCCGTAGGATGGCGAGTACCTCACATTGCATCTATCATCGCAACGCAACGACTCACCCGCTTGCGTCTACTGCTTCGGTCCCCTACTGAAACAGACAATCAGTGGGCTTGTCTGGCGCATGAAATGTTCGATGCAGCACTGAAGCCAGGCAACCGACCTCACCGGTTCGACTTCCTCCACTTCCGACCCAACTCTCGGAGTGCTGCCAATCGTCTCGCTTTTGTATCTCCACTCTGGAACGACGTGTGGAAAACATGGCGCCGCCTCCCTGCAGACAAAATCTGTCAGTCTCAACCCACGTTGGAACAATTGTTCGAGATGCCGGTCTGGCGGCAAACCAACCCAGTGTTCCGCATACCCCTTCACGCCAACGGCCCACACGTCACACTTCTGACATCCTTCCGACACAAAGGAAAGGAGTGGTATCACCATATGATGCGATCGGGGTTCCATTGCCTGAGGGACTTCCTCACACCGGCAGGAATGTGGCCGACGGTGGACGAGTTCGACGATATCGTTGCGCCTGCGGTCCATAGGTTAGAGTATGATGGTCCTGTACCCTACTCACTGATGCCGGTGTACCGCCGACTTACCACCATCGCCCGCCAGGTCTTCCAGGCGGCCGGTACCGCCTGGGGTCACCCAGTCGATCTCGGTGCCCCTTGGCGGCTGCCATTTTGTGCACGCTACAAGGACACTCTTGTCGAAATTCGAGATTGGCAACCCAAACAAATCCGCTGGATTTGTTTTAACCCACCCAAACCGACCCGCGACCACCCCATGCTTCGCACGCATGGTACGCTTGATAACGTACAGAAGTACCTGAAGGTCTTCAGACGTTTAATGGCTGTGGCTCCACCGCTCCAAGCGGACGTGTGGAACCGAGCTCAGTACCGAGTACTACCCGTCGGCTACTGTTTCTACCACATGCAGTCAACCGATCCATCCTGCGTACAGTGCCCCCACCAGGGGTGCGTTGCTGTGGAAACTGTCCAACATGCTCTACGTACCTGTCCACGTGTTCACCCCGTCTGGCAGGCGTTGGCGGACCCCTGGCAACAGTTTGGTATGCGTTTTGAATGGATCAACATTCTAAACGTAGAAACATTGAAGCCGCGCCCTGCATGGTGTTATGCCCAGGACGAACTCATGGCGCTTTGGATTATGCTCACCGGTGGCGTCATTCGGCGATTGTGGATTCACCGCAACAAGGTGAAATACGAAAACGCCCATGCTTCTCACGTCCCTGCGATGGTGGAGCTGACCCTACTCCAATGGTCCTCCCAAGTCCGCCGTCACCTGTCCCTCCCGTCGACCGATGATGACGAACGAGACCGCCTTCGCACCATCTTGCACCGGCTTGGTCAGCACCCCAACTACCAAGCCTTCTGGTCAAAATACCCAAAGCACTTTTCGGTCAATCCTTTGACTGAACGACGCCCTTTCAGGTGACCTCACACTATTTATGGTCTCACTGACACCATTCTGTACAGCAACTATTAGCCTTAGCAGGTTATAGAATTGTAGGGTTAAAAGTCAAATACACCCCGTTGTACAGTGAGCTATAGAGGAAGTTTCCAATTTGCCAGCAACCTCGCAGTACCACTGTACTCTCACTCTGTCAACATGGTTGCTACCCGCGCTACTCGCCACGAAAAACCCCGCTCCGCTGCCCCTTAGGTCCGCCCAAGGCACCGTCAATTCGACGGTAGTCAACTCGGGCCCGTCCAGTCAAGAACATGTCATTGATGTCGACATGGATGAACAAGTCCATGTGGCGCCACCAATCGCCGAGGCAAATGCTCCGAGCGCTCAACGCTCTGGTGGTCGTTCTGCCTCTGGCCACGCCCCTTTACCTCAATCTCAACGCTCCCGAACAACAAGCTCCTCTCGCATGTTCTCACCGATCCCTCGCGTATCGCCCCACGTGCGCCAAGCAAGATCTGACCCGCCCCGTCGCTCCATCTTGCCAGAAGACCCAGCGTACACTCTGGAAGGTTCTCGAAGCGGCCCTGGGAGTGAAGGTCCTCAACCTTTTTCGACCCAAAACTTGCCAGGAAATCCAGAGAATATTCTCGAAGTTGCAAGAGATGAGCTGGCAAGCAAACGCCCGACTCAATTCTGCGACGACTTCTTGCCTCGAAGCCCCAGGAACAATTGGACTCAGTCCCAGGTTGGCCTGCCTGGAACTATCGAGAATGTTCTGGAAGATGCAAGAGATGAGAGGGCAAGCAAACGCCCGTCTCAATTCTGCGACGACTTCTTGCCTCGAAGCCCCAAGAACCTTTTGGATCAGTCTGCTGTGGTGATGGTGGATGAGGATCGTATCCAAGAAGAGCCTCTTTTGTCAATTCACCATGCCGAAGCTATCGAGGGACCTGCTACTGGCGATGGTCAAATAGCCGTCGTTGATCTCAGCGGCGGCTTAAGGGCGTCCTCCATTAGTAGCCAAGACGCTTTCACTCATCAAGACATCCACCATACCACCAACCGCGATCAACCCGGTCGTCTCGTGGAGGAAGACTCGTCTGGAGAGGGACTAGTTCATCGGCAAAGCCTGGTGGACATCACCCTCCATGCCTTCGTTGGGGTTGGCACCAGTGAGGCTCCTTCCATCGAGGCGGTCGCCAAAGCATCAGCTCCAACCCAAGGCGAAACCGAATGCGATTCACAAGGGTCTGCGAATGTCCAACCGCAGACCAATCCGACGACTACATCTATCGACTCCCAACAACAACCAAGTCCACCTGAAGATGCTACGAACAACTCGGCACCGCCCACGACACCCTACATGAGCTTTGCTGAAGCCGTGAAGAATGCCAAAGCTGCGAACGGCAAGCAGAAAGTTCAAATGGTGTTTACTCGACCCTCACGCGAACAACTCCTCAAGCTGATCGAAATGGCGGACGACGAAAACTGTACCGACGACGCCATGTTTGAAGCCATGCAAGCTGCCATTCCCTACAAGCAGAAGCAAGCTGTGGCCCACTTCTGGGTCACGACTGGTTTTGCACTCACCCAACACTCCAACGACAAAATCATCTCGTCGATTTTCTCGGAGAATGATTCTGCTCCGTGGAAGGCTTTGCTGTCTGATTTCGTCCAAGTGAACAAGGCCCGTGGTGGAGACCTTGTCATTCACGTTGCAAGTGAAGAAACGAAGACCGCCATGGTTGGCCAGACTATTACCATTCTTGGTACTGTTTATCCTATTGCGGCACCAAGACAACAAAGTCAGCGCGGTCAATGTTACCCATCCTTTTCGATCCACGATCATTACTTTATTGACATCATTGGGGTCCGAGCCAATTTCGACTCCAAGAAGTTGATCCGTTTGCTCCGAAGATACAAGACAAGTCCGATATTCCAAGGCTACAAAACCGCTGTTCAAGGAGGTGAATGCCATGGGAATATATGGCGCGTCTATTTCCGACAAAACGAGGTACCTTCCCCGCTCAAACTCAATGGCCACCCAGTCGACCAACTCAAGATGGACGACGTGTACTATGCGGTCTTTGCAAAGGAGTACGTCAAGTCCTCTGTGCAACGCGAAAATCACCGTTCGGCACATTGTCTGGACTTGGATTGGATCGAAAGGACAACTGAACGCTCAACTGAACGTCCCGTTGATGGATCTCTGCCTGAAGCCAAGCGACCCAAGCAAGGCAAAGTCATCGACCTGTGTGAAATCCAACCTGGTGGGTCAAATAGTGAGTTCCAAGCTCAGTCTCCACTACAAGAAGACGACATGGAAACCTCACTGGACCAACAACCACCATTTGTCATCCCTACCACGGCTAAAAACGCGACTTTCGAAAAACCGAAGAAGGCTGCCAAGCGCAAAAAAGACGACCTGGTCAAGACCTGGGTCACAGACAACTTGTTTGAACACCTGCGAGACGTACAAGTCAACACATCATTGGTACAATTCAGTGTTCCAAGTTGCCAAGTGTATCGATTAACAATTGGCAACATCCCTGAATTGACCACAAAGGACCTCTCCTCTTCCATAAAGCGTACACAAGCCAAAGACGGGCGTCTCGATTGGCACCCAGACAACCTCTCTCTCAAGGAGATTGTCGATATCTTGGTGCAACATGTTGTTCAGGGGGACGAACTCTTGAACCACGTCACCCAACACGAACAACACGTTGCCTCACAACCCATGGCGCCGGTCGACGCATGGATTCAAGAGGCAAAAATCGATGAACTGTGGCAGTGGGCGTCGACAAACGCGCTCATGGCCAATTTTTACCTCGCCGAACTCAACAACAAGAACCCGGCCGTATTTGAAAGCCTTGTACGGCTACATACGTGGCATCGCTGGATAAGCGCAACGACTGCCCCTGTCGCACAATCTTTCGCGGACGGTTTCAAGCATGTCTTTGGCATTGACCCTACCGTTGCTTGTCTTGTCGAATTTCCCAACAATGCGGATTTTGCGGAAACGTTACCTCTCCCGGAGGGCCTCTCCTTCCTCGATATCGAACACGCTCTGTCTGCTCTCGAACTGTGGCTTTCAGTACAAGCAAAAGAGCTGCTCGATCGCGATGCATGGTTGATTAGTATCACCGAGCGCCCAGTCGTAGCGCTACCTACATCATGTGGCTCTCGACAATTTTCTGCAGACACTTTGTGGAACGTATTGCACTCAAGTTTTGGCCCAGTCGTGCTGGACAACTTAGCCAAGACACTCCCAAGTCGAATGGTCTCGACGCTTGAACAACTCCGGCAACTAGACTTCCGGTATTCGGAGCAGCGATCAGCTATGTTCAAGAGCAACATGATCGATGACAAACCCCACTGTCAACTGCGGTTGGGTTTGACACTCCATTACTAACTAAGTTCCCCGTGATTGCTCCTTATACGACCCAACCAAGCTCCCAACTATCACCCCAAAGAAGATCTCATGTCCCCACTGCGGTGCATCGAAGCATTTTTCCTGGCTCCGACACCCAAGAGTTACAACTCCTGTCAGCCAACATCAATGGTCTCAAGGACAACGGTCATCGATTGACGTGTGGTTTGTTGAAACGTCACAATGTCGCGGCCCTTCAAGAAACCAAGATCGCTCACCGGTTCCAGTATCAAACCTTCCGCTTCCACTTGGATCACGCACTTGGAATGGGAAACTACTTCTTGGCTACCAATGACCATCGCCATACTCAAGATTCGTCCGAGCAACACCGCAGTAGTGGTGTCATGATGTTGTTCCACAAGGACACGCCTGGTTTCGAGCGCCTGGTGCACAACACTGCTATGGACATTCCCAACAAGTACATGGTCGTCCACACGTGGTGGGAGGACACTCCTGTCTTCTTTCACAACCTTTACGCGCCTGTTCGAGATCAAGAACGTGAAGTCTTCTTTGAAGCCTTGCCTCGAGATTTCCCTGCCAACGCTCAACACATCGTCATGGGTGATTTTAACCTGCCACTTGATAGACTCCTGGACTCGGTGAACCCGCTTTCATCAAGTCATTATGCTGGTCGTTTGCAACTCTGTCAGTGGCTTGAGACATTGGGAGTGGTTGATGCGTGGCGCCTCCACCATCCAACGGCACGCGTCTATTCGTCTCCAAAAGGGAAGAATCGTCTCGACTACATCTTCCTGGACAAAAACCTTATGCGTACAGCGTATCATCGGTCAAATTACTTCGAATCGTCAGAGATC